TACAGCTATTTACACCCCCCCGGAATATGTACAGAGACAAGGGGGAGGAGGGGCGGCCCTGGGGAGGGGGAGGAGCAGGGGAGGGGAAGGGAACACCCCCACCCCTCACCCAGGGGGAGTCCCCCCCACTTGGACACACCCCGAGTTTCTACAAGAAACAGCCAAAAAAAGGGGGAGAAACGAGCCTTTTCCAAGGGGCGGGGGGCGTGGGAGGGTGGGTGGGGCAGGCCGCTGTGATGGCACTGTGATGTAATCATGACATCATCGTGTACATTTTGATGTCACGGGGGCAGCGACGTCATGGCTGGGCTGTGGGGCGGGAGGAGGGGTGACATCGATGACAGGGTGGTGACATCACGTGCTGACCACGGGGGACGTCGACGGTGGTCCCTCGGTGGCCAAATGTCCACAGCGGTGGAACCCCCGGCCCCCCTCTCCTCAGGGCAATCCTCACATCGGCCATGGTGGCCTCCTCCCACAACTGCCACGGTGGCCACAACGCCAACCTCGGCGGCAACGTCAGCCACAGGTTGGCCCCTTTTGCCCACCACGGCGTCCTCGCGCCAACGGCTGCAGCTGCACCTCGACCGTGGTGGCCCAACGCCAACCCTGGTGGCCAAACACCAACCCAGGTGGCCTCGTGTCAACCTTGGTGGTCAAACATTAAACGTGGTGACCAAACACCGACCACGACGATGACGTGTCAACCCTGGCGGCCAAACGTCAACCACGGTGGCCAAACGCTGACCCCGGTGGCCAAACACCGACCCCGGTGGCCTCATGTCAACCCTGGTGGCCGAACACCGACCCTGGTGGCCAAACACCAACCACAACGGCCGCGGGTCAACCCTCAAGGCCAAGGGCCAACCAGGACGGCCGCGTGTTAACCCCCGTGGCCCAAACGCCAGCCCCGAGGTCCCTGTGGCCCCCCCAGCAGAGCCCCCTCGCCCTAGTTCAGGGTGCCACGACAGCTCTCGGTGCGGCACAGGCACGGGATCTTGGTGTCCTCGATGGGGAACTTGTAGTCGTAGGTGATCTCCTCGTTGACGCCGATCGCCTGCTTCGAGTAGATGACGATCTTCTTCTGCGCCTCGATGGTGATCACCTTGGCGTAGCAGTTGGGCTGGGGGGAGGGGCGACATGGGAGGGGTCAGGGGGGCCCTCCCCGGCCGTTTTGGGGACATCCCCCCCCTGCCTCCTCGGGGAGGGGTCAGTGGGGCCCTCCCCGGCCGTTTTGGGGACATTTCCCCCCCCGCCTCCTCGGGGCCTCACCGTGCAGCAGTGGTTGATGAACCGCGCCAGGTTCCCGCACTTGGTGGCGTCGATGATGGTGTCGTGGTCGACGCGGAACAGGTAACTGCTGCCGATGCCCTCCTGGGCGTAGCGCTTCTCCCGCATGTCTGCCACCACCTGCGAGGGCACGGGGGGCACGGGGGGGGTCACCGAGGGTGGTGGGACGTGACCAGGGGGGTAACTGGGGGGCACTGAGGGTGGTGGGAGGTGAGCAGGAGGTACTTCAGGGTTGCTTCAGGGGGCGGTCGGGGGTCACCCAGGGTGGTAGGAGGTGACCAGGGGATATTTCAGGGTCACCCAGGGTGGTAGGAGGTGACCAGGGGGTGCTTGGGGGTCACCAAGGGTGGTAGGAGGTGACCAGGGGGTGTTTGGGGGTCACCAAGGGTGGTAGGAGGTGACCAGGGGGTGTTTGGGGGTCACCAAGGGTGGTAGGAGGTGACCAGGGGGTGTTTGGGGGTCACCAAGAGCGGTGGGAGCTGCCTGGGGGCGCCCCGGGGGGCTGTGGGGCCCTGCTGGGTCCTGACCTGCCGGATGTTCTGCCCCACATACTCGATGACCATCTCGTCGGCCGCGATGGGCTCCATGGCAAAGAGCCCCCACTCGTGGATGCGGCTCCGCCCGAACCGCAGCCGCTTCTTCCGGAACTGCCGCGACACCGGGACGCGTCACCGGGCAGCCCCCCGTCCGCAGAGCCCCCTGTCCCACCCCAGGGTGCAGCCCCCCGTCCCCAGAGCCCCCCATCCCACCCCAGGGTGCAGCCCCCCTCCCCAGACCACCCTGTCCCACCCCAGGGTGCAGCCCCCCCTCCCCAGAGCCCCCCATCCCACCCCAGGGGTGCAGTCCCCCTCCCCAGAGCCCCCCAGAGCCCACCTTGAGCTGGTTGAGCTTGAGCAGGTCGCTGTCGGGCAGCGCGGCCGAGCCGATGGCGCTGAGGAGCCGCCGCTGCTCCGAGCGCCGCTCGGACAGGACGCGGTTGGGGCCCTGGGGACGGGGACGGGGACGGGGTGGGCACGGGAGCCACGAGGAGAGGGGGCACGGGGGGTCCCCGTGGCGCCGGGGGCTCACCTGGGTGTCGGGGGGCGCGTCAGGGTCGGGGCGGGGGGCGGGGCAGGGGTGCAGGTACCGCGCCTTCTCGCGCCGGCTGATGGGGTAGTAGCCCTCGCTGCGCGCGCTGCCCGTCCGGTGCTCCCGGCACT